AAATAGGGTGAATACATCTCATTACAATGATTTACTGGTAGTCTCGAAACCCTACTTTCTTATAAATATCTTTTGTTCTTTTGTAATGAATCCAATAAAATTAAAACCATATTAGATTGCTTGAGGAGGACTCGAACTTTTTAACGTTTGATAGTAATCCGACTGAGGTAGAGAGTTCTTTGAATTAATGCAGCTACCACTCAGGCATCTGGATCATTAAGTCAAGAGGGAATTAGGGCTCTACTTTATTTCCATATTAATGAGCCATGAGATATATTATGCCGATTAAGAAGAAACATCTAGAAAAGTATTAATTTTGGGTAAATAATTACTTAATTATTTAAAGTATAATAGGCATATGGGGATTATGCTATGCCTTTTAGTACCTGACCTATCGTTCCTTCTTCCTAAATAGTTTTTCTATATTTTGACTGATTCCAAACCTTGGAGTCGATATTTAGTCTCCGTGAGACGAATTGTCCGTTGTATTCTTCGTGTTTGTAACTGAGATATGAGTATTGCTAGTCATATTTTAAGATAAAGTTTTTAAAGACAAATCCTACAACTTGAAATTTTCTTCGTTAATTTATCAGTTTTGCAGCCATCTCAATTTAGGCTTTGACTGGCATTACTATGTTGATTTGCTCCCCTTTTTCAGGGGAGATTTACAGAAAACTCTTAATTTGTTTGCCGAGGCGGCACACGATATCGCTACTGGAGACATAGTCGCGGGTATAATGCAGCGCGCTGGCGCTGGTGCCTGGCATCTACTACCCACGCAAGCCATATTCTCCTGTCTTCGGCCCGGTAAGCTACTTAATGGTCACCTTAGCTTCGTTGGTGGTGGTGGCTTCGGAGGCAGTGGGGGCATCTCGTTTCCTTCTTGGTTCGGTCGCAACAGCACCAGAAACCGATTGCTCCGTCTCGTTGGAGAGCTTTCCACTCATTTGAGGCTCGCCACGCTCGGTTCGGCAGGTGATCCTCGCTGCCTTGTGCAGGATTATGCTGCCGCTTTGTCAAGTAAATTGACACAACCACTAAAGGAAGGTAAGATTTTATTGCAACTTTCTTTTACTCGGGAATAATTCTCTGCTCCTAACAAGTGGGCATTTATTGATTGCCAAGTGTTTTATTTGATATATGGAGGAATATAAGGCAGACTACTGTATCCATTAATATTAACGAATATAATTTTGGGATTGTAATCTAGTTTGATATTTGATTTCTTACCAAAATTTAGGTGAAAAA